ATTATATGAGTGATGGCAAGGGAAAACCTCGAACCGGCAATTATTTCGAATAATAATTTATTATTAGGAATAATTGCCAGTCCAAGGTTTTTCCTTGCTGTCACTCATATGATTGATATAAATTTAACATTGCTTAATATGAACTTAGAGTGGTTTTTTATATTACATTAACATCATTGACAAATGAGCTTTAACAGGTTTTAATATATATATGTTGACTTAACAACTAAGTATCCTATAGCGATAGGCTTTTATATTGATATTGTATAATTCAAAGAGATAATCTGTTAATTGCCATAAACAGTTCGAATTTAAAAACCTGTTTATAAATATGTAAATTTAAATTAATTTATACTTATCGTTATATAAAACTGGAATTAAACTTTAAATTAAAGTAGTTTTTTGTATTGGCATTAAATTAGTGCCAAATTTTTTTATACTTTCGATGTATAATTCATTTATAATCAGTTAGAATTTTCGGTCTTTTTCTAGAGCAACAAACATACAAAATAAAATTTTATGCGATATACTTACTGGAAAGATTGTTGTTTTTAAAGTACATAATATATATAAATCCATATCAGACATATCAGTATCAGGTGTGATTGTGATTTGACACGAATACTCTTACAGAAACATGCGATTTTGAAGCCTGAAAATTTATTTTAAATGAATTGGCTGACCCTTATACAGTTCATCCATAAATTTCTACTTCCTAAAAACCGGTTTATATTATACAAAAATTCAGCAACAAGCATTTTTGCAATATTTCTCGAAGTGACTTTGGTATGTTTCAAAGGTTTAAACAACCATAATAATTTAGGAAATATATTAAATGACAATCTATCTAATAAGAGGCTTTTAAATCGACTCACTTTTTCACCAATAAAGCCATCATTGTAGTTACTATAATTACTAAGTAATAGCTTAAAAGGCTGTTCAATTAATGCAAGAAATTCTATTTTATAATAATAGCAATCATAATCAATCTTTGTATTTCAGATATTACTGTTCATATTTTTTTGCGTTTTTTTGTTCTTCAAAAAATTCTACCAAGAAACATAAATTTTCAATCGCATTCATAACAACTGTGATAATGTTAGAATTTCCTTTAGAATTGGTATTTTCTTTAGCCCCTCTCTTTAAACTGCTGCTTATGAAATAATTGCTACCAATATCATCATCTTCGTTTACACATATAAATTCTAGGTACT